ATCCTGGATTTGATCCTGGGATAGAAATCCCAAAAGTTTAGTTAACAGTAATGTAGCAGTATCGGTTTCCTTGACAAATGCACCACGGTAATGTAAAGTGTTTAACAAGGAGAAAAACTGGGGGAGGAATGTACAGGAATGCCCTGTATTACCTTTATAACTTATTCATAAATCTAAAATTATTCCAAAATAAAAATTTGTTTCAAAAAATTCAGTGGTGGATAACAGATGGCACACTTCAGAGAATGTATTAGGACTTGCAGAAGGAAATCTGCAGGTAAACTTTCAGATCATCCTATATGGGCATTCAGTATTTACATGCTTCATAGATTTAAGTATCGTGTCATTACAGCAGATGTTTATACGAGTAGACACAATAAAAGTAAATTGAATGATTTAGTTACACTTTCTCCCCATAATCTTTCTGTGATATTTACTAGTATTTTCAATTCTATTTTTGAAAGTAAGAAAGTGGGTTGGGGGAGCTGGTGTGTGCAGTTTGAAGGGAGCTGCCTCAAGCCAGGAAGAGCTCAGCATAGAGGAAGTCAGCCTCTATGACCTCCGTTGAGTCTGGCTTTATGGACCTGCAGACTGATGCGCACTGTGACAGCAGGGCCTCTCCAACAACAACCTCCACAGGCATCACAGCTACCATTTTTGGAGAGCACGGTAATGTGCCAGACTTCACACCATGGGTTCCATATACAGCATTACATTTAACCCTCAGCACTGAATGGGGTTATAATTATCTTTTCATTTTACAGATGAGAGATCTGATCATCAGAGAAATTAAATGACTTTGTCAAGGTTGCAACTGAGATTCAAACACCAAAATTTCTGACTTTTCTACTAAATCACCAAACAAGGAAATTCCATTAGGGCAAATGCTTAACTAAATACCTAGTTAGGGTACAATCCTAGCATCATTAATGTTAACCAATTTATTGATATATTATGCATTATATGTTATAAACATCCAGATAATACTGAATTATACTGAGATCATGTATGTGAAAGCATTGTCAAACACTATATTTGATATACAAAACGTTAATTCCCTATCCTTACAAACTACATCTGTTTTCAATTGGCTCCAAGCTCTTCTTTACTGCTTGTGTTTTAGACCCTAGATATGTGTAAATTATCATGGCAATTTAAAAGTGCAGAATAAACTGGTGCCCAGAGTGAAGTTTAACCAGTCTGCATGGGAATAGAGTTAAATTTGGGGGAATATCAAGTTATCTCAGATTTTTAAAAAATGTATCATATGTCAATGATTCTATTCTGGTGTTAGAAATATAACAGATTTTTAAAAACAGGTTATCCTTTGCCTAGATTATATTATTATAAGCTTTATTAAGGACACACTTGCCAACTTGTATACTTCTTTTTCTTTTTCTTTTTTTTTTTTTTTTTTTGAGACGGAGTCTCGGTCTGTCACCTAGGCTGGAGTGCAGTGGCACGATCTCAGCTCACTGCAAGCTCTGCCCCCCGGGTTCACGCCATTCTCCTGCCTCTGAGAGTAGCTGGGACTACAGGCGCCCGCCACCACGCCCAACTAATTTTTTGTATTTTCAGTAGAGACAGGGTTTCACCGTGTTAGCCAGGATGGTCTCAATCTTCTGACATTGCGATCTGCCCGCCTCAGCCTCCCAAAGTGCTGGGATTACAGGTGTGAGCCACTGCACCCGGCCCCACTTTGTATACTTCTGTTTATGAGAGTGATTTTCTGATATCATTATTACAGATTTGTTTTAATTTTTTTAATATGGCCACTTTCTCTTTATGCTCTACTTCTTAAGTTGAATAGACTGTCCCCTCTTGCAAACCACAACTATTATCTGAGGGTTGGTAAATTCTCTGCAGTGAGGAAGACTTTTAGTGTCTTACATAAGTCTGAAATTTATCAGCAAGAGCTGAGGGAAAGATTGACAAGGACTAAATTTTTCCAGGATATTATTTTAGAAGGATTGACCCCCAGTGAGATGGGGCTAAATGGAAGAGGAATGGGAAATATCTGAAAGAGTATAGTCATCTTTCTCTGTGCTAAAATAAGCAAAGCAATTTAAAGGGCTGCCATCCAATATTATCAGGGAGCCCTGCATTACGGACAGAAGATGGGCTTTGTTACACGACAAACATGCGAGCTTATTATCTAATGTGAACAATGAGCAAGATTCTGCTAAACATGATGGAGAAGAACCACATTTTGCCTGAAAATATCACTTGGTACACCACCAAGAAACGGAACTAACTTCAAACGCAGTGCCACACTACTGCTCTAGCTCAGACTTTGATGACAATAAATGAATGACCTAAGAGGACTCACTCTCTTTGTTCTGGGATGCCGGTCTGAGTACATTCCTAGAGTCCCTTTTATCTAGATGTGTTGTGCAAATTTCACTTAATGCTTCTGAAATAACATTTATTTTGGCATGCACCTCATAGATGGACTTAAACTTGTTTTTCTCTTTATACTCAGTTTGAGCCCTGTCAGCCTTCCCATGAATCTGTATTCTGTTTCAAGCTGGAACCAGGCTAAAGAGCAAAGGTGAGTAGGAGTGAATCCAGAACCTCAAAGGATAAACTTTCCTGAAAAACCACAGGTTAGAAGCACCATCACCACATATTAAAAGTAGAATCACTGCCGGGCGCTGTGGCTCATGCCTGTAATCCCAGCACTTTAGGAGCCCAAGAAGGGCAGATCACGAGGTCAGGAGATTGAGACCATCCTGACTAACATGGTGAAACACATCTCTACTAAAAATACATAAAAATTAGCCAGGCATGGTGGTGGTTGCCTCTAGTCCCAGCAACCTGGGAGGCTGAGGCAGGAGAATGGTGTGAACCCAGGAGGCGGAGCTTACAGTGAGCTGAGATTGCACCACTGCACTCCAGCCTGGGCGACAGAGCAAGACTCCGTCTCAAAAAACAAAACAAAAAAAAAGTACAATGACTGAGTTGGTCACTTTTACTTCTAATCCTTTTATTGATTTCTTCAAATCCAAATCATTGGAATGAGTTTTTAAATCTTCAGAATAACTCCTTTATCCCCGTTTTGAGGTTTCTTTGTTCTTTGGGGTCCCAAAGACACTGTTGAATTTATTTGGCTTACCTTTATGCCATCACTTCCCCCCATTTGACTTAAGAAGTTTCTTCACGTAGAGATTTTATCACATATGCTGAGTAAAGCACTTGCCAGAAAATGTCATCTTCTTGGAAAAACTCAAACCACAATTACCTCCAGCAATGGTGGACAGATAATGCCACAGAAAAGATAAAACAGATAATTGAAAGCTACAGATAAGCTTCAAATCTCATTTCACCTAAAAATTTCAAATGTGTTCCCACTCCAAACTGAATTTCTTCAGAGTTGATGGTAAGTTGCAAAATATTACTTGAGATCTGTTATCTTCTTTTAAGAACTGTTAGCTATTTGTTTGGAAGCTTAAAACAAGAAAGAACATAAAACACTGTTCTTTATGATTAGTAACCTTTAGACGTCAATTTAACTTACATTGTAGCTACACTTCCCATCACAAAAATATATGTCCATCACTTTATGGATCAAATTAGATTATATGCTAGTCTGTCACTTATATGCTCATTTATATTAGAAAATGTAATATGTTGTTTACAGAAGGAAGAAATCTAGAGGTTTGGGGAGTTGCTCCTCCTCCAGCTCAGACTTTCCTATCAAAGGAAATGAGTGTAAAGTATGGAAGTGAGAAGGCTGGGGAGAAGCCAAAAGGTATTGATGTCTAAGGAAAACAATGTAAAGGGTTAAGGAAGCTGAAGCAGCTGAGAGAATTAAGAAAGAAAATTCACAGCAAATTCTCTAGTGGATTCAGTGATTAGGCTACCAGGGATATGGCTCCTCACCTCATGCCAACTTCAGATTGTAGAACCCCTGTACCCAACCCTGGGATTATTCTTGGACCTCAGAATTTCCATCCACTAAAGCTTACTTTAGATCAGTCTCAGAAACCAGAGCTCAGAAAAGACCATCCCAGGAAGGCTTTCCTACTATTAGTCCTGCCAGTTTTAACTATTTTCATCTTTTACACAGGTAGCGAGGTCTATACCTAGAGACCATTTGGGGACTGGGTTCATAAGTCTCTGGTTCTACATAAAAGTCATTTATTTATATCAGCATCATTAGCTATTCCCTTGGACACCAGTTTGCCTTATCTTCTTTGACTTTATTGCAGTTGACTATTGGCCCCCACACTTAGGAAGGAGCCAAGAACCCTAATATCTAACACTCTCATGGTCTTAACTTCTTCTGGCTTATTTTAACCAATTACCTCATAAATTATTATATAGACAGAGATTTAAAGCAGTGATCAGAATGTACCAGAAAGTAAAAAGTGTCCAAAACATATACCGATTGACTAGTGAGATGAACTAACAATTAGCTATGTATTCAAAGCAGCATACAGAAAATACATACAATGAGAAGCAATTCATATGTTGACTCAAGTGTAGGTTTCAAAAATAATGGCACCTCATCATCAATGAATCACTTTATCATCACAACGTTCCTGTGGGCCCTTCTCTGACTTTATATAATAGCATAATATCTAGAAGTGCTGAATGTGCCTCTTTGCCACACCTATGTGACGAATGAGGGCAGTGTTTGCTAACGCAGGCTCCAAGAAGAGATTTGTGTTGTCTCAAGAGTTTTCTGGATGGTGCTATACCATTGATATCACCAACTTTTTGCTTTCCTCATTTTAGGCAAATCTGAGACTAAAGTGGTGAATAAGCCAAGAGTTCCTGACTTGGCATCCACAGCAGAATTTTATTCAGCTGCTTTCCTCTTCCAGTTCCTTTTTCTGTAGCCCATACATTATCACTTGGAGCTCACATGTTACAACGTTTCGCTTCACTTCTCTAACCATGATTTTCAGGCACAAGGATAAATGAATCTACCCATCAAACCAAGGAGGATCAAGAAGCTGAAGAGAGGCTGATCACAAGAAATCAATCCAACTTACAAGCTTCCCGGAGTTTCTCCTTGTCATAGTGGAATCCTTCATAGTCTTGCAAACTGATTTTGTTCACCCGGATCCTCAGACGATCTGGGACAGACTGGGGACTGCAAAACAAGAACCGAGTGATCAGATACAAATGAGAGAGTGGAATTGGTAGCCATGCACCTGAAGAACTAAGGACAATCTTATCTCTTCATGTTTAGAAGTAAGAGTTCACATTCAAACTGGAAAGGTGGGTTCCTTATCAGAATTGAACAGTGATCTGGAGAACACTTCTCCAGAAACCAAAAGTTGCTGGAATTTAGGTAAGAATATGGAAATATGCAGAAAGAGCCTTTGGAGACCACTTTTATATCGTATTTTCTGTTGAGGTTTTAAAACATTTAATAAGATCATGTGCTTGTTACATAATAAATTAGATTCAGCGAACTGAAACAGTGGGAGGTGGACTGGAGCTTTAAGAACCACAGACAGATATGCACATCACAGTAAGACATGGTCAGGGGCAGCCTGACCCTCAGAGAGATGGAAAAACTATCTTTAAAAAGCAGACTAAGAGTCCAGAAGCCACAGGGCTGAGACTGAAGTAGCTCCACACAGCTCAATAGCCTCTGACAGCACCTCTCAGTCAAAGCGTAATACAATAAACACTGCTTGTGATGGTGGCTCTGAGCATTCCAAAATGAAGAAAAATGTTTAAATATATATAGTGTTCTTTCTTTAGGAAGATAATGAAATGTGTAACTCATTTTGAAAGAATTCAATGAATACTGACTCCAGACACATATTAAGCAATAAAATGGTGCAGTACCAAACTTTCTGAACATCTATTCACTCCCTAAATGTCTATAACTCGACTCCTTGATTTTCTTAAGCAATATTTTGAAAGTGGTCTAATCTTGGGCATTAGTTGAGTGAAATAATCTGGTTTCCATCACCACCACAATGGATCAATACATTTCTTCAATATATTAATATAACACAACACCTACTTGTCTTTGAATACTACCTTATACTGGGATTTCATTGGTTGAGAGAATTTTCTCAGACAGAGGCTTCTCTTTTTTAATATATTAAATGGTGATAAAAGTCACCACTGACTAAAGTCATTGACTAAAGTAGAAAGAATGGCATTATTCTTTAATTTTTCCTGTAAAGGAGGAAAAGGAAGGAAAGAAGGAAACAGAGAAATATAAAAAAGAGAGAGAAAGAGGGAGGGAGAGAGGAAGGGAGAGAATGAGGGAGGGAAGGAAGGAAAACAGGAAAGTTAAGAATAGATGAAAGGAGGGAGTACTGTGTCTACAATATTAGGACACCCCTCTCTACTTCACTTCAAACACACACACACAGAAACACAGACACACACTCATTTAATTTCAGTAAAACTCTGGAAGAGGGAGTAAAAAAATCTCATTCTCTTGTCTAAAGCCTCATTTTAGTGCAAAGTATAGTAACTCCCTCCATATGGAATCCTACTTTACTCACCCAAAATAACACATACATAGCAAACTATAGATACATATGTGCACACTCACACATGGTACATTCTCTCTCTCACACACACACACACAGTGAGACAGAGATTTAAACTGTGGCTATTTAAAAGTGTAGATATACGTGCACAAATTCTAAAGAGAGATGGTAGGTAAAAATGTCTGAGGTTCACTGGCTTAAAAAAGTCAGTATAAAACTACAGAGATGGATATTTCTGGGGGAAATTTGAAAACACAGATTCAACAGCTATATTGATCCATCACTCAAAGTGTGTTTGTTGAGTATTTACTTTATATTACCATCGTGCTGGACATCAAAAAGGTATTGATGAATAAAGCCGAAGCATTTAAGTTGTGATGGGAGATATAGCTTGACAGTATATTTGTAAATACAGACCTTCAGTTAGCAGAACAGACCTTGAATATAATGAAAACTCACAACATCTTACAGGTAGGGAAAGTGAGGTTCAGAAAGATCAAGTGATTTTAAGGACACATAGCTGCTAAGCAGCAGTGCTAAATGCAAAGCCTTGGACCCTTCACTCACCAGTTTCATGTTCTTTCTCTGCTCCTCTGAGGAGTTCAGACTCTCTTGTCAATGAATAAATACCAAGAATCCCATGGATTTGACAGCAAAGCTATAAAGTCTGGATTAGCGGAGTCTGATGATCTCTGTATGCTGCTCAGATTTCTTTCTTTACCAATAAACAATCATCAGGCGGGGTGGTTAAGTAAACCAGAGAACACTGGGCAGAGAGTACAAATGAATGTGTAGGTCTTTATTCATTTAGAGGGAAGTACGGCTACAACATGCTGTGAAGTGAGAAAAAGTCATGAATAATTATATATGGCATAAGCTCCTTCATATCAATTGTGGACTTTAGGAGTTTGTATATGCAAGAGAAGTGCATGGAGACATGTCCAACGAGCTGTTGCAAGTTGCTATCTCTGTGTGGTGAAGCCTGGGCATTATTTTATATCAAGTATAATTTTTAAGGAACTAATATCATTTTAAAGGCATGTCCATATGTAAACAAACAATAATGCAGGACAAGAATAAAAATAACGCCTATAGCAAAGAGTGTTAGGAATTAGATGCAAGTAGAGAGGAAAAAATTTATGCAATTAACACCACACAGTGTTCACATTAGATTTTTATCACCAAAAGTGTCTAATAATCCCTTTATTTCCAAGTTCACTCAACTGATCTGCAAAGATTGTAACTAGAAAATATTTTCCTGCACATATAGCAGATAAGAGGGAAGCTGGAACCATAGAATGTAGTGGCCTATCAGACCCCAAAAGGAGAAGTTGAGTGGGGACAGATGTTGAATGAACTCTATCTAAGCAATTTTTTGAGATAACAGTAAATCTAATGGCAGTGGGCTTCAGTCTTCTCTACTGAGCTGGAGGTATCAGGACTAAGACCTCACTTGAGCAGTACTTGCAAATGGGAAACGAGATTTGGAGAATGACTGCTAACCAGTTCCTGGACCCTGCTTCCTAGAGCTCCCCGATTTGGGGCTTACCAGTGTGTATCACCTTTCTCAAAACCCATAAAGTGGCTGCTCTCTGTCCACATGCATCTACCTCCCAGGTTTTCATCTATGCCCCCTGATTCCAACCCATGCACTGTTGTCTCCTGAACCTCTGGCCGCCCACTACTCTATCCTAATTTCCAGGGGGCACACCATGGCATAAAACAGACACTATTATTTGAATCAAACATTATAGATCCTAAATGAATTCACATATGTTCTCAGTTCATCTCCAGAATGATCAGCTAAGCAAGACAGAAGAAAACAGAGACTCTCTAACCACCGCTTAACACTTTCTCCCATCTACCTTCCTACACATTCGCTCCCTTGCTCTCAGCTCCCATCCTTCCCCAACAACTTGCAACACTTCCCACTTTCCCACTAGCAGCAGCTTACTTAAACCCAGTCTTCTGGGCAGGGTATCTGTTTTCTTTTTTAATCTCCTATTAAAAGATGTCCCAGTTGAGACTCATCAGCAAATTTTAGGGCATTAGACCCTAGGGTCAATAATGGAAAACTTTGAATCATTTGCAACCGTGGTGTAAACAGCAGGTATGGGAGGCAACACAGCAAACTGGTGAGGAGCTCAGGCTCCAAGTCAGATTGCCTAGATTTCAAGTAAAATTCTCCCAGTTCCTAGTTAATCAGGAAACTCTGAGCTTCAGTTTCCTCCTATATAAAGGGGAGATGATAACAGTATCCACCTCATAGGCATATAAAGAGAATTAAATGAGCTGATACATGTGATATGCTTAGAAAAATGCCTGGCACATTGTCAGTGCTCAATAGATTTTAGCTATTATCATCATAATAATTACTCTGAAAATTGTTCTCCTAGATAAGGTTCTACCTAATAATCAACAGCATTTGCTGCTTCTGCCAGATACTGGAAGATGTTTAGAGCACATAAAGGAACCTCCCTAAACATATCTGACAAGGTGCTGGGCTTCCTCTGGGGGGAGATTGTCTAGCTTGGCTGGGGGCATGACATTTTACACTTCTGGGTCCTCTCCCACCTAGTATTTTTAAAGGCCAACTACAAACATGAAAACAGACAGCTAGAACATGGGGGAGTGGAGGGAAGTGCATAGAGATTAAATGAAAGCCAAGTCATTCACTTTCGTACCTTTATGTCAAAATATATTAGTGTCCCATTAATGGCTGACTGAAGGCAGAGGATGACAAAGCTGTTCTTTGGAGTCTGTGGAATAGCACTGCCATTAGTTTGCTAAAATTAAATTTTGTCTGGGAAGTTAGTAGAGCACAGAAGAGACAAACAACCTGGGTAAAAATAAATTTGCCTTCCTGCCAACATCTGCCACAAGCTACTGCCATACTGATTAGGCTCTGGATCAGGGGTTCTAAACCTGGCTTCCATGGAACATCTCAAACTCCCTAGAAGAGATTCAGCAGTCTGTGAATTCCCTTTCATATTGGGATAATGGCCTAAACCTGTCGCCTTCTCACTAAGGCAACAGGTTGAGGTCACTACCCCAATTCTCTGCAACACTGTGATTGAGATCCTTATGCAGAGTGGAAGTTCATGACTCTGGACTTAATTCCCAAATGTCTCCCATGAGCACTTTCTCAAGAACCATAATAAGAGTACTTGTTGAATCACTTGGGTGGGTTTCCAATAACCTCCATGCCACAGCTTCCCTTATCCATGTTATACACACCTTTTACCCTGAGATTTTGGAAGGGAGGTGGACTGACTTTCCATCAACACAACTCCCTGAACACTCACTGCTATTCAGTTTACACCTAAATTGTGCTATTCTCTGCTCTCCTGTAGATGTTGCCATAGCTTCTTTCTCAACTGTTCCCATGGAGAATTTCAATCCATCAGAGTCATATTCCTCCCTAGTGCCCTCAAATGTCTTCCTCCTTTTGATCAATTTCTTTAGTACACACTATTCCTCTCAGACTGATAAGAGATGCCTCTCATTCAATCTCTGACCCAGGCCTAATCTCTTTATGGATAAAGTGGATGGGCTGAGTGTTTTGGTTCGCCAGGGTCACTTTCAAACCACGAACTCCATTAACTCATTCTGTCACTGGAAACATGAAGTA